TGGCGTCCACGTCCAATCGTGCCTCAGCTCTAAATATCTTCGTTGGTCTTGCTGGTGGTTGCCACACATCATCCTCGTTGCTGTCACTTTCGACATCCTCATCTGAACCGTATTCTTCTCTATCACTGTCGACATCCTCTGAACCGTCTTCTTCTCCGTCACCGTCGATAAAATGTCCTCTCGAGCTTGCGATAGAATAGAACATATTAAATTGCTCATCGGTAAATCCTGCCTCCTTGACAATGTTTTGCATTATATTGTAATCTATCTCCTCAACCTCATACAATGCATTGGAAACGATTGTAGCAATTGCAATGTATAGGGATTCATCTTGCATAGATATGCTCTCGAATTGTCTGGTGTTGCGTCGCTGTTGTTGTGACATTAATTATGATTATACAATTATACAAAAAGAGAGAGAGGGGAGAGAGAGAGAGAGAGAGAGAGAGAGAGAGAGAGAGAGAGAGAGAGAGAGAGAGAGAGAAGAGAGTGAAGAGAGAGAGAGAGGGATTAACAACATAGATAGAATGAATCAGCATTGTGATGATGTATAAAAGTAAAAAACATCCACTATTAAGTGATTGTGAGGTTTTATGTAGTTAAATCATGGCGCCCTCCCATCAAACACCCACTTCACCCACTATTGTGGTCACTGGGTTGGCTGAATGGATTAAATATATAAAAGTGGGTGAGTGACTGACGCGATACTTATTTCAGAGTCAAAAACCTCCACTATTATGAGATTTGTGAATCAAAATGACACTCAATTGATTGATTGTGGATCGGGCGCCAAAGTTGAGGTAATGTGTGCAATGGTCGACCCAGCCTCGTTCTGTATTTATCTGTAATAAATGATTGTATGAATATGATGATAGACATCAATGTAAAGTACACAACGAGTGTTATCGAATGGTATCACTTATATGTAAATCAAATATAATTATAACTATAAAGTGATGTGTGTGATGGTGTCGTTGATTATGTCTCACATGTCGACTCACCTCGCTCTGTGTTTATCTGTAATAAATGATTGTATAAATATGATGATAGACATCAATGTAAAGTACACATCAAGTGCTATCGAATGGTGTCAACTATATGTAAATCAAATAGAGTTATAACTATAAAGTGATGTGTGATTTATCTGTAGTAAATGTATACCTTTGATACTAGAACGCGCGCGAATGGCCCCAGGAAAGGAACAATCTGGGTTTAAAATAAATGTCCCACCATTAACAATGAGAGAATAAACTAAATTTGGTTTATTCCTGCAGATTCAAACACAGAGACAACTAATGATCATTATCTCGGACCAATTCTATTGAACAAATATATATGATTGATATCATTGGATAGAGAATCGAGCTGTGAATCCGTAGATGTCAATCGCTTTGATGAGACTCGTTGTTAGATGACATAAACATCGCTGTCATCACTACTGTCGGTATCCTCCTCGAAAACAATGTCTTCCACCTCTTCCCATTCTTCTTCTTCTTCATAGCATCTCTTGCGCTTATAGGATCTGCCCCTTTGTTTGAGGAGTGGCGGTGGCGGAGACTTTCGATCTGGATTACTTCTAATTTCATCCAAGTACCTTACCTCTTTACAGTTGACTTCCTCTTCCATGCCAACTCATCTATCTGTATAAATATACCATTGATATCATTCGATAGCCAATCTAGTGAGGCATCCGTGGATGTCAATGGTGGAAGTCTATCTATTTGTTTGTTGACCCAAACATCGACTGCATCACATTGATGATCATCACATAGGTTCAATATTTAAATCCAATGACTACTTTGATTGACGTAAGCTTATGACATAAACATATGTTTCTGTATGATAGAGGACACGATTGATATCATGCAATAGACTATCGAGTGAGGAATTCAATGGTACAGAATCGATTTTAAACTCCTGTCTCTGCCACATAAAAAAAAGGACTRGTGTGCGTGTGGGTTTAGCTGGCGCCAAATTTTGCGTACGACCGTACGTACGAGCGTACGACCGTACGTACGTACGTACGTACTCGCGTACGAGGAGGACTCCCACTTTGTTTTGCCAGTCTTATAAATGTAATAAGAGAATCAGAGATAGATATGAAATGAACAACGCGTCACCGTTCACACATACACACCTATGTGTATCAAATACAGTACACACAACTAATAATACAAACAATGTTACGCAGCTTGATGTATCACAGCATATCAATACGGCAATTCCATACAGCTATTCTCATACAAGCTCGATATTTATCAAAGAGACATTAGTAGCACAACAAAAGAAGACAAAACAGAACGCGAGAGGCAGAAGTGGAGAGAATGAGGGGAAGAAGAGTACACCAAAACGAAATAGAGAAATAGTGGACGATGTCACACCACTCAGTGATGAGAATAATCATGGTGGATCTCACCGTGAACTCGAATCACTCCGACACATACAGCAGCTCCTGCCAGTATGTGATAACATACAGCTCATGGTTAACACACATGATATAATCTATTACTCCAAAGCTGGCCGCATTGAATCTACTGCTGACCAAGATTTTGCTAATCGTATAGATGTACTCGACCCACAGAGGTCATTGGTCACTCTCGGAGGTGGAATATCGCTCAATACCTTACTCAATACGAATGCCCGTGATAAACCAGATGACAATATCATTCTTTTCCTCTCTCTCAATGTTCTAAAGTCTGTTCTGCTGCAACTAGTATATCAGAAAGGCAAATTGGATTTGGGTTGTTCTCATTCCACTCCTACGTTTAAGTTGAAGCATCACAGTTATTTATTATTAAATGATGAATTATTGTATAACAGGTGCAGACGGTGGTGGATGATGGATTATGAGTCCATTCCAAGGAAATTTGCAGGAGGATTTGGAGCATTGAAGTTGAAGTCGTTGAGCACATAGCCATAACCACCATTGATGGGATAGTTATAGTTGGGGAACGAGTATAGATGACTGTCAGGACCATTGAGTAATGGCACGAGGTCATATGTGTCTGTCGAGTCCGTGGTTGATGTGAAATCGCGAGGACTTGTATTGACGTTAAAGGTGGTGACGTTGAGCTTCCAAGATGGTCCCAAAGGCATGTGGGTAAGGGCCAAAACCCAGTCAACTCTGAACTGAGTATATCCATTAGGTTGGTTTGAAAGCATAAGAGTGGTTGCATTTGTAGCACCTTTGGGAAGTTCTCCATAAGCCTGAAGGTAGTTATACCATGAAAACGAGTCGCGTGTGTGATAGGAGTATACGCCCGATGTACCATCCAAGTCGATGGTGCCACTGGTGATATTGAGTAATGGTGATGGTTGGTATCCAATACCGAGGGAAAAAGTACCTACGCAGGCATCGATATTACCACAACCTTTGCTACAACAAAGATTTGTGAGATTTTTCTCAATTTCATATTCGGAGCAATGAACTCCACATGATTCGTTGAAGTGTTGCGGATCGGAGGCCAAGCTTCTTTCAAACTGCATTGTCAAAAGAACCTCGCCAGCTTTCAGAATTGATGAAATGCCAGTGTGATCAACAGGAATTGCTTCGCCAGTTGCCCAACATATAACGAATGATTGAGTGGCAGTGGTAGTGGACATTGTATTCATGCCATAGAAGGTGATCTTGGGTGGTGAGGCTTGGGACATGAAGTTGGGCGCCGTGAAATCAAACCTTATAGGGGACAAAATGGTCCGATGGTCGGTATAGTTTTGTTGTCCAGTGTGTGTTCCATTCATCAAAGTCTGCATACGAGGGGTGTATTCGTCGAGGTTTGGAAATTTAGGTATGATACTAGGTGGAGGATCATCCTTTGGAACTTCATATTCTTGTGAGGAGGTGGGAAAACTGCATTCAATGATTGATCCATCTGGGTTTGTGAATGAATATTGAAGTAGTTTTTGGAAAGATTGAGAAACATTGTTCTGGTCATTCCACTCGACCAAAATGCTTTGGTTTCCATTTGTGTCGGAAGGAGCACCATTGAGATATGCAATGAGAGAATAGTGGAAGGTGTTTGGCAGTGACTCATCAGCGGCATTGTTCAAATTGTTCATWWGGTAGTAGATCGCCTCCATCTTTGTCCAAAGATCTTTGACAGGGACGGACTTGCCATTGTGGTGACCAGGTGATAGAGTTATAATAGTCCATTCGGCAGGAATAATATTCCTGATGGGTGCCAATTTGTAGTCATAGGGTATTGGCATAACATCAATAGTCGATGACCAAAGTCCGAAGGTGACAGCACTTTGGCTTTCGGAGGGAGCAAACGATGCCGGAAAACCACCATAAGTGATGATGTTTGATGTTGTAGATTTGGCCTGATGGTTGTTCATTTGACTCTGATCGATTGATGACGAGGAGTCTACCTTGACAGTGTCACTCTCATGGAACATTGGTTCCTTGACAGATTCTCCAAAACTTGCTTGTGAACTTGCTTGCCAATTGTCTGACGATTCGCTGTTGGTGATTGACTCATAGGTTTGTGTGAGTTGCACTAACTTGCCACCCATATATGAGCTCTGGTAGTAGTAAGTACCATACTTCTTGAAAATGGCAAACAAATCAGTCTCCTGTTCGATTGAGGCAAGGTCATTGAGGAAGTTGGGATCGAATCTGATTTGGTCTGTGTCCATTTCAATGTAAGTGGTCGAGCAATTGAGTTGCGTGAGAATGATGTGTTGAGTTGAACTTGTTGTCATTGATTGAGCCGTTGCCACAGTGATATCCCCAGAGAAAGATGATTGAAGTGAAGCGCCAAACTCTGATACGTTATCATCCTCATTCAATGAGGATGATGACTGGAGAGTCTTCTGAATCGACGAGCTACTATTGAACACCGTAGAAGTGGTGGCATAGGTGCATTGAGGGAGTGGCTTGACATTGAGTGATGGGGGGATTTGGTATGACATTCCTCTGTAATGATCTTCCAAAATGTTATCGGTAACCTGCTGGCAATAGTCGAATTGAATGAATGGCGCAACTGCTTCTGCTCCAGTGATGACATTGATGCCAAAAGTAAAGTGTTCAGATCCAGGGACGTGCCAAAGGAATTGATTTGAAATCAATTCTCCCAGCGTATCGTCCCCAACCTGGAAGCCAGGACTGATATGATTGTCTGGTACAGAAGTTGGTGGACAGTTCTCTGAGATATAGCGATGGCAATCAGGAAAGTTTTCGTTGGGATCATCCATCGATGCACAGACGCCATCAACTGGATCTTCTCCTTTGTACTTTGCGAGTGGGACTTAATTAATTAAAAAAGGAAGTGTGAGGCGGGTGAAGGTGAAGTGACGTTGGGGTTATATGTACGTACATAGTTCCTCCTGCACCGGACATTTGACTGCATCATGTCTGATATTTGGAATATGATCATCGCACACTAAAGTAAAGTTTTTTTGTTAGTTATTTATGTAAACGTAATAGTAATTAATATATTATAGGTGGTTGATTTGAATATCAATACTTACGATTCATAGATACAAAGAATTTCTCGCCAGACGGAAATGGCTGGAGCTTGAATGATCTTTGAGGGCTGTCATGTATCGATTCAATCTTTATCACGATGTAATGTGTTACACCTGTTGTGAAGAAGATTGGATTGGTGGGGGTCTGAGTTTGTGGTTCTGACAGCTCAAGGACCACCATGCCATTGACCCAGACGGATATTGAAACATGGCTACTACCAGTGAAGTTAAATACAAGGTACTTTGATGTCTCTACTTGCAAATAACCGGTAAGTGCCGCTCCTACGACTTCTTTGTATCCAACCATAAATTGATCGATTTGAATATTGGAAAGTTGAAACATGCCAAGCATGGAACCATCACCGCCACCACCGCGGCGTTCGTTGGTGGCTGTACCTGTTGTTTGCAGCTGACTGTTTTGGAATTTGTAACCATCATAGTTCGGATCAAGCTCTGGGAATTGCTGCAAAAGTAGAGATTTGGTTTGAGGCTGAGCCTGAACAAAATCTTCGGATTCAGAGGAAAAACCGCTCAATGGTAATGGTATTGCTGTTATATAATATGGCGCATATACCATTCCGGTGAAGTACACTTGTAATTGTAATGATTGAGTGGAATGGAGGGCATGTAAATCAGTCTTCTGCTCTATATATAATATATATATCATTATCCTTATTTGCAATGTGGCGAGCGCTTATAAGAAATGATACATTATACATACCTGTGTTAGCGTCCTTAAGCGTCGGAACTTCAGCGCCATCATTGTATTGTATAATGGCTGGACCAGGATTGCAAAGTGAGCGTGCGAGGTATGTCGATGTGCACGAGTCATAGCAATTGAAATAGATATTATCCGACTCTGGTAGCAGAATCTCACTGCTGCCAACTGATATGGTCGATTCTGCAGAGCAATCAATGAAGCCAACAACACCTTGGTAGAAGCTGTTGTTCACCATTGAGTTGTTATCTCCATTGATGCTGACCGTTGATCCCAGTGAATAGATGATAGGTCCATATTGAATGGCGACATTGTTGGTGAACAACGAAGAGTACACATGCAATGTACTGTCATTGGAATAGATAGCGCCGCCTTGGGTAGCAAAGTTGGCATTGAATGAGCAATTTACGATCATTGCTTGGCTATTTTGGAGCTGGATTGCTCCACCAAGGCTTCCATAGCAGTTTTGGATCGTTATCTGTCGCAGTGAGAAGAATGAGCCAAAGACCTTGAAGGCATACGATGATCCTTGACAATCAATAACGACATTATCTAGTGACCTAGTTAATGACATGAAGAAGAGGAGAGAGGTCGGTCAGGTGTGAGTGGGATGTGTGCCATATTGATCAGAGCATAGAGAGCAGATAACCTACGAAAATATCTCAACAGGATTGAAAAGATCAATTCCGATATTGTCAACACCCGAATAAGAACCAGACTTTAGCACTTCGATGGTAGTAACTGATATCTCATTTGCATGGATTGATTTGATTGCATCTCGAATGCTGGTGTAGTGACCATCTCCTACATATAGTACGTCTAGTGCGTGAGGTCGAGTGAATAATGGTGCACATAAGGCCAAGCAGCATAGCATAGTAACAGCATAGCATACCTCTTTTTTTCTTTGAGAACGCTTGTTGTGGCTGCAAGCACAACAAAAGAATAACAGTAAATAGAAAGATAGTGGTATGATGACTCGCCATTCGCTTTCTTTCTATCCTCTCTGCTCGATATTTGTTTGTTGTTTTGTGTTTTGGTTTGTTCCCTTCTTTCTCTCTAAGACTTCGAGAATAATGATCAATTAGGATAGGAGGAGACCAAGTAAGACCTCACTCAGACTTCCCTCATCAGGATCAGGCTCCCCACGCACCGGTCTTTGTCTTTTTCTTTTTTTTTGTTTTCTTTTTTTTGTAAGCGCGGCAATACAATGAATGGCACAGTTAGTTCACTTTTCTTCCCTCATCATCCAACCCTTTTCGCACGCATCACAGCGCTTGCTTATTATTACTTATGATTATTAATACCTATTATTAAGAAAGAAAGTAGTTACAAATACAAACTTGAACTTGAATACATGATATTGCCAGCCATGATGGGGGAAATACAGCTCCGATCATCATTATCRTCACGACAAAGAGTATTACTTGCAATGATTGTCCTAATCTTCTTAGAAGGTTTGACATGCACGCTCGGAAGAAGTAAGCATGCATAGTTTGTTGAACGTCGAATTATCAATGCTCGGTATTTCTTACTCTTACTACTCTTCACTTTCATCATCTCATTCTTCATTCTTCTCCCTTTTTACTCTACCCTTCACCCTTCCATACAGGTGATAACATCAAAACAATGAATGGGGATAGTATCCTTTATGTCGACCCAACCTCACAATGTACAACCAACTGTCATGGTACCACGCGTGATCCTTTTCCTTCACTGCACGATGCTCTTTTGTTTGCCAGGGCCACGTCAAGCTCAAACTATTCCTCCTCTCCATCAACCACCTCCTCAACAGTCCATGTACATCTTCTAAGTGGTATTTACCAAGGAATCKACAACAAAGCCCTCGTAGTTGATTTCAATATCGATATAACGTATGTAGCGCATATATATATATATATGATCAATATGCCATAATAACACTAACAACCAACAACAAACAAATCCAACACAACAGTGCAGATAGTAATACCATAATCGATTGTCAACGAGCTGGTAATGGAATCAGAGTTATTGGACTAGCAGTTGAATTCAATATTCGTGGAGTCACATTCACCAGGTGCTCCTCTGTTCAAGGTGGCGCTCTATATATCAATGGTGCAACAGCAATCATTGAGGACGTTTCATTCGAGGATAACACAGCGATYCAAGGCGGTGGTCTTTACTCAATTGATAGCGATGTTCAGATCATATCCTCATCATTCACCTGGAATACAGCGATCCAAGATGGCTCTGCTATATACTTGGACTCAACTAATGCCAACATTTTTCAAAGTACCTGGAATTGTAACTCTCAAAGATCCAATTCCTCTACCACCACTACTACCACTACTGAGATCAAGTTTGTCGACAGTACAGTACTATTCTTTGACTGCTCATCGGTTCAAAGCGTATACACAGAATGCATTAACTCAATGGTCCATTCAGATCATGGAACCTACGACCTTTGTAAAATTACAACGCAGCAGCACACCACTTCATCTCTATTGTGCACTCTCCCTCCTCCTCTACATGACTATGACAGTTCATCTCCCACCTCCACCTCCGATATCCCATCAAGGGTAACAACAAACCAACCGGGCTGGAGCATGATATCCTGTAAGAACTCTGGCATCATCCCCAAACCAACATTATACAATATATTTCAACTCCTATGTAATGTTGGAAATGGAACAAGCCAGACACTCACAAATCTACTTTATCCCGAGTTCACATCATTTATGCCCAACGAAAAAACGCCTGTGTCTGGATTCATCTACTCAATCATTATGGTCAACAACACCAACAACTACTTTCTAAAGCTAGAGTCAACAAACCTCGGTGTTATTGTGTTGATCAACAACGTCCCATTGTTGGATAGCTACTACATCAACGAGAGAACATCATCAGAGAGAGCTGTGATGCTTTCATCAGAGCAAGAGCATACGGTGGTAATTTTATTCTTCTCTGTCAGTGAAGGTCCAAGAACACTAAGTGTCAAGTGGAGGCGTGCCGATGAGGATCACTACTACGACATTATCTCCAGCTATTCATATGATCGACGAAGCAAAAGAAACAGCGACAGAGCAGCAGCAACTATCACAGAACCAGTATGTGGAGACGGAGTCTGCAACGAGCTTCCTGAAAGTTGTCTCCTTGATTGTCACTACCACATACCAGAGGCAATAGAGTGTCCAGCACAGGCTCCACCCACTCGGCTACAAGAGCGGTACTCCAAGCTGGACTTGGTTGGCACTTTGTTGGACAATCAATACTTGCAATCCTTCCCTGGTTTGACTTACATGGCACGTGGTGTGGATTTGCTGACATTGGAAGATAATGCCGCCCCCCTCTTCGCTATTGGATATTGCCCATCTCAATCATTCACCACCATCCAGGATCAATTCAGAGGTGCAGTCTATACCGTTCCACATGGTTTTAGTGGACATGTCAATCCCCAATGCAGCTACCATCTTGATAGCCAATCATTCTCATCAGCTACGCAAATGGCTCGCGCAAAGTCTTCATCACTCGGAGTCAGTGACAATGCCCAAATGTCTGGTGGAATTCCCTTCATTGACCATGCCAAGTCTTCATTGGCAATGTCCTCTAGTACCTCTGTTAACAATGCCAAGGATTTGGAAAACAAGACATCTGGATCAATCACCACAACGACATTCAAGTGTCAGATTTCCACCATTCAAATGGACGACAGCATCACACCAAACTTTCATCCAAAGTTCTTGCATGACATTTCGCGTGTTGTTGATAAGGAGTCAATGAAGAGGGTTGTCAGCAAGTACGGTACCTACTACAAGAAGTGGGCGACGTTTGGAGGAACCTTGGAGCAGGTCAATTCCGTTTCTTCTTCATTCACAAGCTCTCAAAGTTCTCAATCATTGGAATCATGTCTATCAATGTCATTTGCCGAATCAATCACCGCAGAAGGCACTGGTGAGTCTGCTAACTTGGCAAACTCATTGTCATCTCAGGTTGGTAAAGATACGGCCACTAGTTTCGATCGCAGCTCTACTGGAACGATGTTGGTCATCAAGGGAGGAGCACCTGGCTCATATGGTGAGGATATTGATGATCCTCTTGAATCATGGGTCGGTAGCATCGATCTGATGCCATATCCAATCGATTTTAACCTTGGTTTAGTATCTGATCTCATCCCTGACTCTTGGCAGATCACAAACTCATCCGATACTACCGTGAAGAAACTCTGGACAGATGCTGAAAATGACCTCTATGTTGGCATGTTTAACAATCTATTGAATCCATATTTCCCACCCGACCTAGTTGGTAAGAACATCAGTCAGGAATAGGAGAGATCGCAACCAACTATTTAAACTAACTACTAACAATACATCAATCACCAACAAATCAAATAACAAAAGGTCTAATTAATGGCTCAGACCCCTCGGACAATGACAAGACAATTTTATTCTGGTCATCAAAAAACACAAACACCCTTGGAATGGATTTCACATTGACACTTACTTCTGAATCAGGTAATGGAGTCTATARCGCCACCATCAAGCAAGCAAACAGCATGAATCTTTTTGTGGTTGGAAAGRATTTCACTTCTGGATTTAGCTCAATGGTGCTCAATTTTTCATCATCTTCGTTTCCTTCTGGCCTAAATGGAAACATGTTAACCCCATCGCAATGCTATTTGTCAACAACGGAAGGATTCCTGTTCAATKCTCAACCATTGGTTCAGTACAGGGGAGATTATCTCACGCTGAATAATGTACGTTGTCGTTACACCAAGTCAATCGAAAGTCCCATCATACTAACGTTAACGTCCGTCGTTAACTATCTCTTACGTATTTCTTTCWWCCATACCACCAGTCACCTTTTTTGCTTTCTTTGTGCAACAATCTGATGTGTGGCTCTCAGCTCTGCAATCTGGATAACCCTCAACAAACCTTCGAATTTTATGATGGTCCTCCTTCACCTATCTATGGTCGTGGTGATAGCGTCATCGGCATCGGTTTTGCATACGCTAACTATACAGGAGGATTCACTTCTCTGAATGTCAGAGTTGAATGCGTTACGACTGCTCTATCATTCCCCCCTCTACTAACATGTGATGGCAGCAGTTTTTGTCAAATTCAATCAGTTCTAATTTGCCCAACAGTGTCCCTCTTCGATGTGATCACTTAAAAAATCATCAGAATATCCATTGAATATCCAGTGAATATCCAGTGAGTTGACAGTGAAAATCCAGTTAGCCAGTGAATAGCCAGTGATT